GGTACGGCCTCGGGGTGTCACGGCGCTCCTTTCTGTTTGCTTCTAGAAAGAGCGTAAAAGAGCAAGCCAGGCTCCGCTTGAGGGAGTTCGATGTGGGAGACAAATTCTCCCACCTGCCGCTGCCCAAAGCCTCTGTCCTCCTGCCGCTGATGGTGAGGGAGGGCAGGCTGCCCTTGCTGCTCACTGTCAGGTCGATGCAGGTAGGTGAGCCCCTGCCCTGCGCGGAGCCGGGCTCCCTAAGGGGCATGAGTGGGGCATCGGCAAGGTCATGTTGGGGAGATACTTGTCCTCTTCTCACTCGGGTGTTTGCACAACTCCCGCCCTCACCGCACGCTCTCGGCCTGTCTTTCAAACTTCAGTCCAGGCAGCACGCCCAGGGTTACAAGCAGATGTTTTTCTACACCGATGATTCCAGTATTTACATGCCAGAAAAATGCTGGATGCCCAGAAACCTGTGACAGCAAAAGATGATTTCCAGAGCAGAAAAGGAAATTTTGATTGTTTACTACGACTTAAATAAGAAAACCAACACTGCAGTGCAGCTTTCATTAATGTGACTTTTCAGTCTGCATTTAATATTACTCTTCTCTCCCTTTCATATATGAAAGGAAAGGCAACAACCTAAGTCCCCCAGAACTCTTCTGCCAGCATTTTTGTTTTCTTTTACAACTCTTGTTTTCCACCCCACCCCATGTATTCAGAGATTATTTACCTGTCTGTTTTTCTGTTGCTGAAAAATGGAAGTTTTTTGGGGCCTTGCTTAGAAATTTTAAGACCCTAATAATTACACTTACTTAGCTGATAAACTGATTGTAAATGGGCTTTTTACTGATCTTTGATGTGCAAGCCTATTACTATAATGTACTTAAAGGTACATTATTTAAATGTGCATTTTAGAAGTTCTTGCTCTTGAGTATTTTAATCTCACTATTCGTCTGCCTAGATTCATCTGTCAATCTCTTACGCAAGCAAGATGATGAAAAATGTAAATTTTGAAGTATTAAAGCAGAATGTATAGTATGAATTACACAATACTGTACAAGTGATATGTGTATTTCTCATAGTGAGGGTTTATGGATTAGTTGGGTATAGGCCCAACTTTTTCTTGTGTAGCTCATGATAAGGCACATTTCTTCTGATCTTCAGAAACCTCTTACCACTATTTCCAGCTTCTTTGACTGGAAAGATAAACAGAAAGTGATTCTGCAATACGAACAAGTGGATCCAAGAAGAAATGTAAAAGTTGTTATATTTAATGGTAGTACTCCTTTAAATTCTAGCTGAGAAGATCACCAGGGGAAGTGTGTTTTCCAGGAGGTAAACGTGAAGCAATTGATAAAGATGAAATTGCTACTGCTCTCCGAGAAGCTAAAGAAGAAGTGGGACTCCAGCCAGAGAAGGTGGAAGTCATCTGTAGGCTTGTGCCTGGAATTGATAAAGTAAGCCATAAACTAAGTCAGCATATCATTAGAAAATAAACTTGGGTTATTTTCTTTTGTAAGGTTGATAATGACCTTTTCAAACCTGTAACTGTAAATAACCACCACTTCCTAAAGTGCGCAGCCTGTGTTGCCAGCAGAGCAAAGGGAAGAAATTCTTGCCCTGTATTTGGTATTTGTGAGATCACTCTTGATGTACCATGTCCAGTTGTGGACACACTGGAGTACCTGAAAGACAGTGGAAAACTGGCGAGAGCCTAGCAGAAAGCCACAAAGATAGCAAGGGGGCCGGAGCACATGGATTAAGAGAGACGAAGAGAAGTGGGTTTGCTCAACCTAAAGAAGAAAAAGCTAGCAGGGGATCTAGTTGCTCTCTTCCAGTACCTCCAGGGTGGTTATAGAGAGGGTGATACTAGACTCTTCTTGAGACAATGGACACAAGCAGCAATAAATGAAATTTTGGTAAGATTTTAAAATAAAGAACATTCTTTTACTTGGTACAAACTTAGTGTTTGGGTTTTTTTGTTGTGGTTTTTTTTTCCTTTTAGATGAATCACTTGGTAACACCAGTTGTAGGATTTATAGAGGATACATTCCAGGCCATTCCTAATCCAGATGAAGTGAGCGATGTTTTTGTCGTGCCATTGGAGTACTTTGTCAAGCCCCTAAATTACAAGACCTTGCCTTATAAAACCTCATCTGGTTACTTAAGTTGGGTGCACTGCTTTACATATGATGACCATGAACATAAAATGTCATTCAAGATATGGGGACTTACTGCACACTTTGCTGTATTTCTTGCTCTTGTAATTTTTGGAAAGAGACCTACCTTTGAAGTTGATTATGATCTTAACAACTTAATTTCATCCTCTGAGAATAACTTCATGAATTTATATGCATCATTATATAAAAGAAAAAAGAGTAATCTATGACAAACTGGTCTGGTAATTAACTTATATTGATGGAGGAAAAAGATTTTTGTTTATTCCTTTTGTACCTATTATTTGATTGAATTTCACACTAGAATTTCTTCTGAATTGGGAACTTACTAAAATTTATTTTTAAATAATCTTTTTAAGTTGACAAGCCCTAACTAGATTCATATAATTTTTAATCTGTTTTAGAGTTGCCAAAAGCACATGGTATTTTTGATGGACTTAATATACAGATTTGGAAGATCTGTTTCAGTTTCTGCCTTTATTTTGGTTGATCTAAGACACTTTCTGTGTTTTGCCTTCTGTATAATGAGATAATACTATTTTATCTAATTTTTGTCTGTTTGAATTAGAATATGAAAACTTTTGGGGATCTGTCTGTCTCACTGTGTGGCGTACTACATACGGACAACATAATGCATAGAGTCTTGTGTGGTATCTTTAAGCACTTACGAAATGCACAATAAAAATATAAAAGGTGGCAAGTGCTTTCTCGATCTTGTTTTGTTTTGGTTGGGCTTGTGGAGGGAAGAGAGGGGTTTAATGAGTTTTATTACTCTTGCTCAATTTAACATTTCTCGCAAGGAAATTCTGTAGGCTATGGAAAACATAGTATGCAGGCAACAGTACTTTGCTCTTCAGCATCTTGTTAGCATCCCTCACTCAGTTCCTAGAGGGAGTCATCTTAAGGAAAGAAAAGTGGAGTTGAGTATTCATGAGGACTAAAATGCTTATCTGTAGTTGAACCTTTACCAGTCACCCTGGCAATGTCAGATACATGGTGTTCTTTGTGCTGTGAATTCTTGCTTCCTCATTGCTGGTGAACTAGAAGCTTATTCATAGTGCTTGTGATCTTATTGCCAAATGATTAACTTTTTAAAAGTGCAATCGACTGAGGCTGGATTTGAGATGTACTTTGCAAGTAAACGGTCCTTAAACAGCTGATCTTCTCTGAGTAACAAGTGTGAGTTGAAAGCATTCAGTGTGTCTCAGAATCACGTGCCCTAGTGCTAGTCTTGAATAAGATAAACACTCAGTTGTTCTTCTGGGTGTTTGCACTTTGTGCTTCCCCCCCCATTCACTAATCGATGCAAGTGTGATACAAAAGTAGCTGGCAATTCCTATGAACTGTGCTGTAATTGAGCAGAAGTCAAGACTTTTACATTAAGCAGCTTTTGTAGTATACTTGAAGTTGGCTGTGACTTTAGCAAAATTTATTTTTACAAATAGATGTTTCCCAAGTATGGCTTGAATAGCTAATTATGATTTTCTAGGAAACCCAATTCTAAGATTTTTTTTTTTTAGCTTCTGGTAATTGCATCCATAACATTCTTCGGCTGCTGTGCTAGGACAGTAACACTTAAGCACTGAAATACCAGCTTGTGTTTGGTTGGTAACTGCAGCATGACCTTTTACTGAAGAAGAGAAAGATGCTGGAGTTGCACTCAGCTGACAGAAGTGTACCAAAACAAATCAAGGCTAAAATCAATGCAAATCTTCTTGCAAGGACTGAGTTTCCCTTTTTCTCCTCTCCCTGCTACAACTGTGCAATACTTACTATTTGTCTCTTCCCAGAGGTCATTCAGTGGTAGGTATTCTACTATGGTATTCTGCCTGAAATATTCTTTATGCTGTGGCATTAAGAAGTACAAGATTGGCAATCAGAATACTGGGTTGGAAAAGGCCTCAAGACTTAGCCTAATCTCTTGCTACCTAAAGATGGAATCAGATACATGATATTCTGATAAATACCTGATTTTTTCTTAAGCTTCCCTGGACAATCCATTGTAGTCCTTTAGCCATGCTTTACAAATTTTGTCTAACATAACAAGATGTTAGCTGTAGCAAGGAACACTTACTTCTTGTCCTGTGCATAGCAGAATGGTGAATAGCTTGTTTCCTTAGTTACTTTCTGCACTCCTGAAAACTACATCACTGTGTCTTCCTAAGGCATCTTTAGACTTAATGATCAGATTCCATCAGGGTTTTTTTGTCAGTCACATTTTCATCACATTTTGTACATCTCTTGTCATTTTTGTTGCTTTCCAGAATCTTCAGTGAACCTTCCTTCCCCTTTTTCCCCCCTTATCAAATACATGATAATCAAACACGTGATAATCAAACCTGGTCATAGTATTCTAGTTAACCATTTATTTGGGTTGGATAGGACAGGATTATTTCACAGTTCCTTTTTATATATCCCATTGTGATTGCTGTTTGTGAAACAGCATGGTAATATTGATTCATATTCCACTTCTTCCACTAAGTTGCCTCATCCTTTTCTGAAAAAGCTGCCAATTGTTCCTATATTTGTATTTATTGTATTTGAACAGTTGATCATTCCTACCAAATGTAGCACTTTGCATTTGTCCTTATTGAATTACATCCTGATTTTTTCAAAACAAATTGTAATGATCTACTACTGTGTTTTTCAGATGTTTCCATTTTGCTGTTATCCTCAAGTTTAATGGATATATTTTCTGTTTCATTTACGATGTAGAGGAAGCACACTCAGAACAGGCCTCTGCAGAATCCCAATTGGTAATTGTCACTTTGACAATGAACTACTAACTACTGCGTGTGGTTTTCTAACCAGCTGTGTAACATACTATTGTTAGTTTCATATAGACCAACCCTTCTGGGTTGGTTGCACACAGGATCCTTAGGCAGGGCTATATCCAAAACTTGAGGATTTATAGTCCTCCCTGTACACCAAGCCTGTTATCTGCCCCACGGAGGAAGTAAACACATTTGCCAAAAACAGTTCATGGGAAAAAGACAATGGTTGCTACGTATGTCCTTGTTAATTAAAGTACTTAGGTAAAGGTTATTTGTTCTGGTATCTTCGCAGGAATTGGAACAATTTGTGTGAGTTCTCCAGTTCTTTCATAGGGCACTGCCTTTTCCCAGCCTCTGTTAGGGAAGAAGATACAGTTTCCTAAATTTCAAAGATAATTGCTAATGATGTTCTTAAGAGAATGACTGTTGCATTGGGACATTTCAAAAGATTTGGCCAGCTTGAACATTTTAGCATATCTAAATACTACCAAACCTTTCGTATTCCTACATTAGCTCTTTGGCGCCTGTGTTAATTATATTTGCTATCAGTTGACTTTTTAAGTTAAAAAAAGACTTTTTTTTTTTGGGCTAGGATGAAATCCTTGGAGAAGCAGTAGCCACGTTTATGAAGAACAGCTTTATTTTTCATTATTAAACACTTGTGAAATTATTAAAATACTTTTAAAAGCTTAAACTCTTCATCATATTATTCATATCCTCAGTGGTTTCTCTCAATGCTAATGTATGCAGGAAAAGTAACTAATTAAAATAAGAACATTGTTAATTAAAATAGAGCAAAGCAATTAGACCTTTGATTAGTAAACAAAACAGGTACCAAGAGACATAATTACTAACTTACCATCCTCCTCTGTTCCCAGCAGACTTTTCTTCTTCGTCTCTTAACCAGATCTGGCACAGAAATTGTACAAATTGTACAAATTCAAACCTTAGTTTGTTTTTATTTCTCTTTTTTTAAACATTATTGTGTGGAACTGTAAGGACACCAACAACAATTACAGCTGTTGCTCCTTTTAGCAAATGCAAATCATGTTGATTTTTTAATCAAATCAACCATTTGAACTAGTTGAAAAACAAAACTTACAGAAGTCCAACCAAAAATCCTTGAGTGATTTGCAGTAAAACCACTGGGGCTTCATGCTTCACATTATGCATCCTACATAATTTTACTGACATTAGTTTTGAAATTTGGGAAGTACTTTCTTAACTCAAAAGGCTCATTCTTTATTTAGATATCCATCTGGGATTTGAGTGCCCAAAAAACTCCTTTGAGCACAAAAAGAATAGAAGGAAATTTAAGCACTTGTTACTAAAACTGCAATTCTGCAAGTCCCACATTTACTAATGGGAAATTGTTTCCTTGGGCAATCTTCAGATAAAATTCTTCCACAGTTCTTGAAGCAGAAACTAGAACATGACTCCCTCCAACCCAGGCAGCCCTCCTAACCAATCCATGTCATGTTCGTAGTCCCTTTCCTACCTTCAAGAGGTAAGGAGTGGAGAGTGCCCCAAGCAGAGTATCAGGAAGTCTGGCAATGCCGGCATTTTTCAGCATGCTACCTCTGAAGTATGAGAGAACTGAAAGTGTGTAACCCTCGCTCCTCCTGGATAAGTGCCCTGGTAGTTAAATAGTGTATTAAAGGGAAGTTGCAGCTGCTCTGCACTTCACGGTTTTAAAGGAGAGTGTGACTGTGCCTTGTTTGTGTGAGAACAAGCTCATGAAAAGGTGGATCCTCTGGGGAGATGAATCTTTCCCTGGGCCTTGGGCTGCAGGGAAGCTGTGTAAACTTGAAAGGGAAAAGATCTAGCAAATGTGCTGTTCTGAGAATTTCCTATTAGAAAATGCTGTATTCTGCCCTTTTAAACTGGTTCATGGCCTAGGACAATTAGCTCTCCCTTGTATTGTATACAAAAGTTTAAGCATCTAAAAAAGGCCCGGGTTTTTTGTTCAATGGGCCAGGTGCTTTGCAGTATGACACTGCAGTGTTATAGTGCCCGAGTTTCCTTTTCAGATCTGTCTTTAAGCACTTTAAGCACTTATCAAGACCTGGGTGTCCCAATGTTCTCTCTTATTGGTCCTGTGTTATACCTGAATATTATTAAAACAGATCTGTATCTACTTTTATTTTGAATGCGGTGATTTTAAAAGACTCCTTTACTTTGAATTATTGATTGCAAATGCATTTATGTCTTATTTGTTTTAAGTATGGTATGTTAATATAGCTTCCAATCTGAAAAGATGTTTTATACATATATATTTACTCTCTGCACTTTTTCTTACAAACAAATCATCAAGGCAATTGCTCAGTTGAAAAAAGGTATTAAAAATATATTCCAGATTACATTCTCTAGCTATGGGATAAGTAATGCTAGCATGACAGTAAAATGAGTGCAAAGGCTTGTATCAGAACAAGAAAATTACTGATACAATATAAAATTAACTAAAACCAAGTGGCATACAGTTTAATGTATGTGAGTTGTTAGTCATTCTTTTAGTTAACGTGCAGTGACTAAGCATTTAACATTTCTATA